TGGGTCATGTTTTCTTATCCAGTCTGCAACTCTCTGTCTCTTGAGTCATACATTTAATCCATTTATATTCAGTGTAATTATAAAAAACCAAACTCACTGCCATCAAGTGCATTCCGACTCATAGCAAACCCTCTTTGGGTTTCCAAGGCAGTAATTCTTTACAGAAGTAGATTGCTCATTGTAATTATAGAAAAGTATAAATTTATTGCTGTCATTTTGTTATGTGTTTTTTTTTGTTGTGTTGCAGATATCTTTGTTTCATATAATTTTCTGTGCTGAGCTCATTTTGTTTATGAAATTTGTTATCATCTCTTTCATTGTTATTGTTTAACTATTTGTTAAATATTTGTGCCTTTCCTCTTTTTAATTTTGATACAAATGCTGATTATTTTTCTTTGAGGTTACACTGTGATTTATTATTGTCTACCCAAGTTTAGAACAATCTGTTCTATCTTGCAATTGTTTTGACTTCCTCTCCATTTATAAGTTCTATACCTACACTATTTATTCCCTCTTTTTGGTTTGGAGTTGTCCTTATTTACCAATTGCAGTCTCTGGTTCCCTGTTTACAGTCTTGTAAGTTTATTTTACTTTGGGTATGTCTATCCATGGGTTGGTTTCTGGGTTATGTTGTCAAGTATGTTAATCATCAGTTGTTTTCTGCTCTCTTTGGACAAAGGATTCCCTTTAGCATCTCTTGTAAAGTTGGTCTGGTTTTAACAAATTTCCTTAATTTCTGTTTATCTGGAAATGTCCTAATATTACCATCATATTTGAGGTACAATTTTGTTGGGTATATAATTCTTGGTTGGCTATCTTTTTCTTCAGGGTTATATATATACAATCCCATTGTCTCCTTGTGTACGTGGTTTCTGGCAAGAAATCAGAGCTTAGTTTTGATTGCCCTTTGTAGGTAACCTTTCATTTTTCCCATGCTGTTTTCAGGATTCTTTCTTTGTCTTTGGTTTTGGTGAGTTTGATTATATGTTTCAGTGATTTTCTTTTGATGTTTCTCCTGTTTGAAGTTCACTGAAATTCTTAATGGATATCTTCTGTTTCATCATATTAGGAAAATTCTCTTCCAACAAACCTTTGACCATTTTCTCTGTAGTTGTATTTATCTCTTCCTGTTCTGAAATTCTGATCACACATGAGTTATTCCTCTTAATGGTATCTCACATGAACCTTAGGCTTCATTTTGTTTTGATCTTTTTTTTCTGATTGATCACTTAACAGCACGGTACTGAAGTATTTGTCTTTATTTTCACTAATTCTGTCGTCCATTGGTTCAACTCTACTCTGCTGCACATTCAATCAATGTGTTATCTATCTCTGAAATCTTAGTATAAGTCTTCTGGATTTCTATTTGTTCTTTTTGCATAGTTTCTTCTTATTTATTTATTTTGTCAGTTTGTTTTTATATGGTTTTCTTAAATTGCTCTAGAGTTTTGTCTGTGTTTTCCTTGATCTGTATCTCAATCCATTGACAGTAAGTACTTAAATATAATTCTTTTGAATTCCTTATTAGGCTGTTTCAATGCTACTTCTTCCTCAGGGAGGTATTATGGCCCTGTGGTCCTTGTCCCTTGTTTTTACCACTTTATCTTGCTTCTTTGTGTGAACTGGGATGGCCTGTTGTCTCTGAGAACTTGTGATGTTATTATATTTATGTTTTTACTATATTTGCTAGTTTGGCAGCACTTAAGGCACTCACCACCTGTTTCCTGGTGGTGTGATAGAGGAAGAGAGTGTGTGCACAGGTCTCTGTTAGCTGTTTGTGAAGAGCAATTGAGGAGAGTTGGGGCAGTATTTGCTACTGTCTACTGCTGACCAGTTTAGGCAGAAGCAATTGGCAGCTCTCACCCAGTACATGGGGCTGTAAGAAGTGCAGGTATGATTGGGTTGTGTGGAAACTGTTGCTATCTCTTACCTGATTAGAAAAACAAAATAATAATCCACACCAAAAAACACCAAGAAAATAAAAACAAGAGAACAAAAACTCAAACTGCATAAGCAAACAGCAACAATTGCAAAAAAAAAAAAAAAAAAAGGCAATAAATGAAAAAGTTGAAAAAGACAAGGAGAAGAGAGAGAGAGAGAGAAAAAACCCTGCAAATATCTGATGAGATGGGAATAAGAAAGAAGAACTAGAGAAAAAGAATAATAGAAAAAATGAGAAAAATGAAAAAAAAAAAAAAAAGAAAATCAAGGAATGGGACGAACCAAAGCAGATAAAGAAGAAAAGAAAGAAAAAAAGAAGGAAATCAGGAAAAAGGTAGTGGTGGTATGGGGGGAGACAAGAACCAGGGAAGGGAAAGAGAAAGAAAGAAAAAAAAATGGAATAATTTTAAAACAAACAAACAAAAACAAAACTGGGGGTGTGGTGCGGTGTAGGGCATTCAGACTGTTAGGGCATCCAAACCGGGATGGAATTCCTGCTGGTCCAGAAAGTGGGTAGAGGTGGGGAATGATCACTCCTCTGTCCACAAAGATGGTGTGAGGTTTGTACATGAGTAACAAGGGGGATATCACACCTTTCTAATTGTCAGCCTCCAATGTGGTTGTTCATGCAGTCCTTGGCAAGCAGGTCCAATTTTTCAGTTGCTGCTCAGATTGGAATGCCACTTGTAAATATTCTAATTGGCCATGCCATCAGGACAGCTGACAGTCTCACTCCTTATTCACCGTCCTCATTCAGGATCTTCTTCTCGTTGGTATTTAATTTACTTCTTTATCCTTTGCTTCAAGGCTCAGGGTTCCAGGTTTATCTTCTGTATCTGTTTCAACTGATTTCTCATTTCTGCATTGCAGAAGGCCTGTGTAGCTTGTCTGCCTATTCTTCCACTTTGCCAGAAGTCCCATATAATTCATTTTTAAATCAATTAACAGTTTATGAGTCTTTTGTGAACTGGCTTGGGAAATTAACTACCCCTTATAACACTGGGGGTAATTGTCTCTGTGTTACATAGGCTTTTTAGATTATCAAATATATGTTTGTGTTTCCATTGTCAATAAGCTTCTCAGCATTAAATTTCTTCATTCATAAAAGAGAAAAATTTTCTTTTTAACAAAAAATTTATTTTTTTTTTCATCCTTATAAATTGTACAGCTGTAAACTCAAGGAATTATCCAATGCTTGCATAAATCTGGGAGAACATTTAATAAGCACCTTCTATGTTATCCACAGTTTAAGAATTTATCATTTTTAAATGTTTAGAATTAACATACTAAAATGAATAAAAGTTATAAAATTATACAAAATCAGATGAACATTTGATACAGAGGGCTTGATATGGAATGATAAATACATAAGAAAAGTAAAACTGACTTATGGATTGGGCAATATGAAAGACTCATATATTCCCCAATTCTTGGGATTTTGGGGATATATTTGTCTTTCAAACTTCAATTATTCAAGGAAAGACTCTCTACCGATTTTGGTTCCAATGAGCTACCTCAGCAAGAAGCCGGTGAGGATGAATTCAGGGTGGGGTGGGGGTGAGCAGGGCTGAGTATCCTGGAGTTTGAAGAATAGTGGGGAGATCCCATTCCCGGGCAGAAAATCAGGCAGATTATTCCATGTGCTTAAGTATAAGTGTTCTTGGGCAAAATACACCATTTCCCTTCTGGGGTTATTGAAGGTTTTTCCTCTTGCTGTTGTTAAATCCCTAACCTCTTGGGTTTTCCATTCTTGGTGTTGATCAATAGCTTTGTGATACTCTGAGTTTTCTCTACTCCCTTACCTTATACTTTGCTGGCTCAACCTCCTTATACTCAGCTTTGGATCCAAAATTTCTATTATTTTAGGAATCTGAGAAGAAGCTGATAAAAAAAGATAACATTGTAGCTACTCATATGGTTGGGACATGTTGTCTAACCAAATCATAAATCACAAGCATGAAATGAGGAAATAGTTCCTTTAATTATAATAATGAGCAATAAAAGATCTAGACCATTACCTTAGATATTCAATTCAATCCTCCTTGACTAAGGACACTGCAGGCCCCATGACAGATGGCAAGGACCATGGTAGTTGGAGAAACAAAGCAAGTTCATTGCTTGTACACTGTCACCCAGGAGTGGAAGCCAGAGGCAAGACTGTGCTGGGTCATCACTTGGTATTAGTCCCAGACTCTGCCTCAGACATATTCTAAGAAGTAACTAAACTTTGACACCTGCAGTGGGGCTTACATGCCCAAGAGACAAGATGCTGGAGCCTGATGCTGTGGGAAAAGGGGAATAAAATGCTAGTCTTTTGTGAAGTTTAAGGCACACAAAAAGGATTCCCTATCCTTAAACATCTGATTCTACATTTTGAAATTCCTACCACTGAACACTTTTCTGATTTAAGGCTTTGAATACTAAAGGTTACTGCTAAAATGCCAATATCTTATCTGGGGGGCAATGTCCACTATCATTCAATAATACCCATATATTCCCTAGGACTGGACAGGCCCACTATAATGAAGACCTTGGGCAGGATGAAGGTGGCCAAGGGCTAAGGCATAAAAAGCTGAGAGCATAAGAAGGGACATCAGAGCACCAAGAAAAAAAAGTGTGGGAAGGCTAACTCCCTCCTTCACTCAGAACCTTGTCTAGCAGGGTCCTGGTTGGTGAATTGAGGGCTGACAGGATGGTAAGTGGGTCAGAGTAAGGCTGAGCCTACAAGGCCATAGGGGAAAGACACTTTAGGTCTAGAACATTGCGCTAAGTTTGGGAAAAGATTCCAGGGGATTGGGATAGGGCACATAATTCTCACTTGGGGCTATATAAGCTTGTGTGAGGGTTGGGGCCAGGATGGCTTTCTGTCCTCATGTAGGGGGAGAGGCTTTCCCAGTACACAAGCCCAGGGTGTATGTTTTAGAGAGCAGTGAGGGGAAAGCTGTCAGGGCTCAGGCTGGATTAGATCTGGGCCTGTTGGCCACTCAGCCAAAGGAGAGTTTTCAGTCAAGTAGGGTGTTGTTGTAAAATGCTTGGAGATGGAATGAGAGTTCTTGTCTTCATTTTTGCTCAATACAGTCAACTCCTAGCGTGTTGTCAGGGCAACGGCAGGTCCTGCTTCCTGGAGTGGCTAAGCAGAGGTGGGTACAGCCACCGTTGTTCACCGAGCAATAGTTGTGGCCTGTGAAAAGGTAGAAATCTGTTAAATAGCCTGCCCTCAGGCATGACTGAATGACCATCTAAGAGACCAGCCTCCTCATTAACCTTCACTTTGGTTTCCATGAGGCCAAGCCTGTGGGAGCTCCAGAGGAATGGGAAATGTTGTACTAGGTACTTAACTAAGCTTATCTACTGTCCATTTCCTATCATTAGACCAGACAGGCAAAAGCAATACCTCTTGATTTGAGAACTATGCAGATTTATCACCAAAGTTATTAAACTGATCTCAGGGAAGGTTCTCCAGCTCTGATTATAACACGGAGTTGAAAGCTGAAGGTATAAAATACTAAGCACTCTTTATTCTGGCTTCACACTTGTGTGGGGAAAAGGTGACATGCCAATCAGGGAAATGGGTTAGTGAGAGGTCTTTGAGAGGCAGAAAGCACAGACTTTGGAGCCAGGTTGCCTAGGTTCAGCCTCTGCTCTGCCACTATGACCTATGTGACCTTAAGCAAGTTTTTAACCAACTGGTGCTCCAAGTTCCTTATTTATGAAATGGACATAATAATAGTGCCTCACTCATAGGGTTGCTATGAGGATTAAATTAATCAATGACTACAAAGAATTAGGACTGTGAATAGAGTGCCTAACTCACAGTAAATGCTATATACAAGCTTGTAATGATGGGGATGATGATGGGGATGATGCCAAATGGATGAGATTTTAATGATCCTAACATTAATGTTCCTATTTGGCACTATACATCTAGACTCAGCCCAAGACTGAACACTTTTCCTCACCTTTCTTCACTTTATTCCTTATATTTTCTACTTTTAAATATGGCTCATCCACTTGATAATTAAGGTCCTTGATGGAAGGGACTGCATGTCCCCTATTGCATGATCAGAGGCCATGCAGGCTGTAGCCAGTGTGGACTCTGAACTTCAGGGTAGTCTGGGCCACCAGAAGGGCATAAGCGAGTTACCTTGTGGACACTGAGAAAGGGCAGTGGTGATGCCATACAGCCGTGTCTGTTTGTAGGGGTGGAATTCATCCGTCTCTTTGGAAATAGCAAGATCAACAGCAATCACAGAATTCCTAGAAAATACCAGAATAAAAACACATCTGATGGCTTGACCTTCTCTCTCCAAGGCACCCCTTTTGAAGCTGCAGGGACAAATTGAAGGCAATAAACAGACACTATGGCCTGGCTTCCCAGATAGCCCTGCCTCGTTCTGGGGTGGGTTAAAGCTACAGTTCTACTCTGATGTACATGGGAATGATACCATGTTTTGCCCATTTCTCTAGCTTCTTAAAAAAAGACAAAGCTCAGAGAGCTCTCCCCTCCCACTCTAAATTCCAGGCTTGGAAATAAGCTTTCCACAGAGATGCTGCAGGCTCTTGGTTTAACCCCTCTGGCTTGGAATCAACTCAATGGCAATGGTTTGTGTGTGTATGTTGAAGGAAATGGTGGCTAAGAAGTGGCTGTGGACATTTTGCTGGTTAAAAATTATAATGGGGTGGAGGGCACAGAGGCACGAGGTCCATGAGCCAAGTGAGCCAGCTCCTGGGGAAAGAACAGCATGCTTAGGAAGCCCAGGTTTACATACTGGAAGCTACCCACCCAGGAGCATCCAGATGAGAAATAAATGGCACCCCAGCTCCTATTTCCTCTTCAGGTACCTTGCCCTCCCTTCTTCTTCACCACCCTTTCCTGTCTACTGACAACGAGAAGGGTGAGATAGAGGGGGATATATCTCTGAAGGATCAAAAGTCAAGTCAAGAGGCCAGATGGAATGACTCCTGCCTCTCAGAGACAGAGGGTGAGGGCAAGCCAGCTGCCTCCATGTCCAGCAGCCCACATACGTCTTCCAGTCTGTGTAGTACAGATTCTTTCCATAGCTCGTCACAGCGAAAGGATACTGCAACCGCTCAAGAATCTTGCGTCTACTGGGCTGACCAGGGCTCATGCATTCCACTCTCTTGGTGCCTGTATGGAGTGAAAAAGACAAGTTGTCCATTGTTCATGTAAGAAATGGTCTCTTTGTATCAAAAGCAAAAACAATGATGGCAAGTGTGAGAGAAATTCAGTGTTATGATAAATCCTTGAGAATACACGGTACCTGCTATTGAAAATTAGAAACATGTCTCTTCATCTCCTCTCTTGCCCCTTTCAATGGTCAACATCATCTCCTTCCTGCCCCCTACACCTCATTTTGATGGGTGAAAGTGTGTCAAGGAACTACACCATATTTTGCCTATTCCCAGAGCTCCTGAAGTCTGGTCCTCTTCCTTCTCCAAATCACTGTTCTCTTCCTTTCTGCTTTTGGTCAAGTCCATCCTTAGTGCAGCCTCTCCAGACCCTCCCTCTCTGAATGTGGAGCCAGGAACCAATTAAGAATTGCTGAGCAAATGGTTGCAAATAGTTAACTTGTTCAACTACTAACCAAAAGATTGGAGGTTCAAATCTACCCAGAGATACCTTAGCAGGCCTGGTGATCTACTTCTGAAAAACCAACCATGGAAAACCCTGTGGAACACAGTTCTGCTCTGATGCACAGTTCTACTTGGATCACCATGAGTCACAGTTGACTTGACAGCAAAATATTTTTTTTGTTGTTGTTGTTGTTTAAAGAACTGCTAAAGTGTGCATGGCCTCATATCACTACCTGCCTTATGACTGAACTTAACACTTGTGTTCTCATTTAACTGGCCATGCTTTACTTCTTCTCTGGGCAGAGACTGTGTCTTACAGTATCTGTATCCCCCTGGCACCTAACAGTGTCCAGAACAGAGAGCTGTCAGCTGACTGATGTCCCTTCCTCAAAAGAGCCTCGTGCCCAACATCCTTGGCCTAAGAGAGACCTGAGACGTGCCAAAGCGGAGGCACAAAGCAGGGACTGCATGTTTATATTTTCTTGGCTCACAGCCTTGCCTAAACCCTTGACAACAAAAAGGAGCTGTAAGAATGTAAGTTGTGAATTGCTTAATAGGTTTCAAGGTGACTAAAGGCCATATAAGTGCCACTAAGTTCAGCACACTTTCTCTAAAAGGGCTGGATAGCATATATTTTAGGTAAAAGCAAATATAACTTGTAGGTACTTATATAACCACTTAAAATGTAACATTTTAAAATATAAAACCATCTATAGCTCCTGGGTTGTAAAATAAAAAACTAGGAGCTAAGCCAGATTTGGGCCTTGACTCAGAAGAGTGACAACTCTCCCCAGTGTCAAACTGGGGGCCTATGAGAAACAGTATATTTCAGACCACAAATGTATAGCTAGGGTTTATGTTTTTGTGAAAGGAAGGAAAGAAAATTCTCTATGCCCTCTTTCCAGGTAAGGATGCTCTTGATGTATACATGGGCTTGCTCACAGTGGGTAACAATAGTTGTTTGTTAGAAAAGAGCACTACTCCAACCCCAGCAATCATCACCTGCATCCACCCAGCAGAGATGAGATGAAAACGCATCAAAGGTCAGACCATTGGGTAAGCCCAGGTCATCCTTCACAAGGACTCTTCGATTTGTGCCATCCATGTAGGCAGTTTCAATTTTGGGGTTATCTCTATTCCAATCTGTCCAATAAAGGTTTCTGGTTGATAAATCAGGGGAACAAGGAAGAGAAATAATGAAGATGCATAAGAAAAAGTTTACAAAAGCATTTACAGTAAGTCCCTGTGTTACAAATGTCCGACTTACATAAAACTTACATTAAGAAATATCTGGCTTACATAAAACTTACATAAAAAATATCTTTATCACAATCACCTTCACTTGCTGCATGTGCAGCTTTTAAATAATTGAAAAATTTTGAGCTTTTTCTTATACTAACCAAAAAACTAAACTCACTGCCATCAAGTCAATTCCAACTCATAGTGAACTCCATTGGGTTTCTGAGGCAGTAAATCTTTACAGAAGTAGATTGTCACATTTTCCTTCTGTGGAGTGGCTGGTGGGTTTGAACTGCCAACCTTCTGGTTAGCAGTAAAATGCCTTAGGCACTGCACTACCAGAGCACCTTCTTATACTAAAGTAAGGCTAAATTAAAACCATATGCACCTTTTCTGATTTACCTACAAATTCAACTTAATATACTTAAGAACAGCTCTCATTCATAACTCAGGGACTGCCTGTAAAAAAACCTATATGAAAAGGCAGACACTAAAGAAAACAGAATGTCTAAAGAGTACATGGAAGTGATAAGATAACTTTTCCTTTGCAAAGGCACTCACTACTTTGGTCATTACCTTATGAACAAATTGAATTCCTTTAAGTATACTGGCATAAATACATAGGAATTCTTTACATGCTACCACAACATGGAGAGCACAGCAGACCCAGGGGACTAGGCTAAAGCAGAGGTATTGTTCAAGACACCTGCCACTGAGGGGGTGAGAGGAGAGTAGCCATGTACCACTGAACAAAGGATGTGGTCTCAAAATGGCCTCCAAGTGTTCAGGAACTGAGTGAGTGGTATATAAGATACAGAGCCTTTAGTATGCAGAAACGGGGAGAGCATGTTTATATGCTGCCAAAACCCATAGGAAGGAGCCCCAGAATAAATACATACTACCCTGATACTCTTGTAGTATTGATACAGCTTAGGTGTTTACATACATTCAACTGTTATGAAAAATACCTAATTTTGAGCTGTCAACTTAAAAAATCTCTTGGTAAAAGATTTGAAGTGGAACATGGTATCAAATCTATAACATGTTAGAACCATGAAAACAAGAGCTTGTCATAAATGTTCTGACATCTCCTAGTGGGTATCTACAAGTCATCAACTATACCCTATACGCATACATTTCAGGAGAACAATGCTGATATTTGAGAATATTCAAAAGGGTAGATGGAAATATAAAAGATGTACACATCTTTATGCAAAGATACCCTCTCACGGAATCTGTTATGATGCCTCTGGGGTTCATCAAATCGGTCTCAAACAGCACCCGGCGCTGGCTGCCATCTAGCTTTGCAACTTCAATTCGATCCAGGTGAGAGTCTGTCCAGAAGATGTTGCGGCCAAGATGGTCAACAGCAATACCTTCTGGGCTTCCAAGATCTAGAGCCAAACACAGAACTCTTCTGATATTTTTAAAATGGGATTAAATTTTCCTCATTTGTTGTTAGCTGCTGTTAAGTGACACCGTGTACAACAGAATGAAATGCTGGGTGGTCCTGTACCATCTTCATGATCCTTTATTTCATGTGGTCTCCAATCCTTCCACTTTGAGAAACCAAATGGGAATATGAAATGCATGCTGCTTATAAGATAAGCAATACTCAAAATGACTAGTTCAAAAATGCGACTTCATTCACCTGGAATGACATCCATTGGTTGGTATGGGGACTATGGTGATGACTAAGCCCCTGTCTTCAATGGGCTTCCAGCCAATCACAGTGCAGAGTTCAGGGTTCTATGGGAGACTGACAGAGGGACACCAGATCCAGCTGTGGGAGAACAGGGAAGGACTCTTGGGTAGGTGACAAAGCTGGCTCCTGAGGGACAAACAGGAGCCTGTCAGCGTAAGGGTTTTGCAGGTATGGGGGCCAACACATACGTATAAAGGAAAATTTTATTTATCTTGAATTGAACTGTAGGTTGTTTTTATATGACCGGTTAATACAAGGTTGGGGAAATGGTCAGAGTTAAGATACATGTGAATGAGCTTTAAGCTTATCTCACAGGCAAAAGAGAAGCATTGACAGATTTAACATGGGGAATGGTACAAATAGATTTATTTATTACTGAAAAGAAAAGAGCATTTCAGGGAAATAAAAATCCAAAAAATCATAGCTTACCTGTTACTACTTCTATTCAAGTATAAAAAGTACAGAGAAAGGGTGTTAGTAATTACAAATAACATTTCCAGAGAATTATTACTAAGTTATAAGCATCTTATTTTCAAGTCAGGTATTGTCAAAGAGTCACCTAATTACAATGTAAATCTTTAGCACCCACCTAACATGATTGGAGGTTCAAGACTGCAGTGATTTCCTGACTATAAATAAAAACATTTAAAACAACCATTTGGTGTAGAGACAAAAATAGTGGTTATCCATGGTAGAGGGATGGAGGAATGGAGAGTTATTACTTAAGGGATACAGTGATACAGTTTCCATTATAGATGATGAGACACTATAGGAAATGGATAGTGACGATGGGTGTACAACATGGTGAATTAATGTAATTAATGTTGCTGAATTGTAGACTTAAAAATAGTTAAAATGGATCAGGGGAGTTCCGGCAAGATGGCGGACTAGGCAGAAGGATTGCACAGACCCTCTTCAACAAAGAAAAGGGGAACCAATTAACACAGACACAGAAGATAATC